AACACGACTGAAAACACTGCAACAACAACTGTAAATACAGCAACATCAACAGTAAACATCGCAACAACAACTAAAAATACAGCAACTACGACCTCAAATACAGCAACGTCAATTGCAAACACAGCAACAACAACTGCAAATACAGCAACGACAACTTCGAATACTGGAAAAACGGTTGAAAATACAGCAACTACAACTGCAAATACAGCAACTACAACAAAAAACACTGCAACAACGACTGAAAACACTGCAACTACAACTGTAAATACAGCAACAACAACTAAAAATACAGCAACTACGACCTCAAATACAGCAACGACAATTGCAAATACAGCAACAACAACTGCAAATACAGCAACGACAACTTTGAATACTGGAACAACGGTTAAAAATACAGCAACTACAACTGCAAATACAGCAACTACAACAAAAAACACTGCAACAACGACTGAAAACACTGCAACTACAACTGTAAATACAGCAACAACAACTAAAAATACAGCAACTACGACCTCAAATACAGCAACGACAATTGCAAAAACAGCAACTACAACTGCAAATACAGCAACTACAACAAAAAACACTGCAACAACGACTGAAAACACTGCAACTATAACTATAAATACAGCAACAACCACAGTAAACACTGCAACAACAACTAAAAATACAGCAACTACGACCTCAAATACAGCAACGACAATTGCAAACACAGGAACAACAACTGCAAGTACAGCAACAACAACTGCAAATGCAGCAACAGCAACTTCGAATACTGCAACAACAGTTAAAAATACAGCAACAACAACTGCAAATACAGCTACAACAACTGAAAACACTGCATCCGCCACGGAAGATAATGCACAATCAACAGCGTTAACGACAACTTCTTCTACAACAACTTCTCCTACAACAACTTCTACAACAACAACTTCTACAACAACAACAAAAAAAGCTCCTGTTACAACAACCACAACTACTACTACATTTCTTCCTCCAACTTCACCTACTAACGTGTTTACATTAACTACTCCTCCCAATAACATTTGTAATTTTTGGAAACTTTTATTTTCAAAAATACATTTTAATTCCACAAAGCTATAAAATGCTATTTTAAGCCCCTTTTAACGTAACATGAAATCAACATAAAAACAAACATACTCTTTAAATTTAACAGAACCGACAGACAAAAATAAGGGCACCCAGGACCAATCAAAATGCAAAAAAAATTGAAAATCATTTGTACATAACTGAGAATGAAATTTAACCAATTTCTGTTTCATAACTACGCGACTTCAGTCTACCAAATCAAGCGAATTCTCAATCAACCACCAATTCATTTTTTTTCGACTCATTCACATTATACAATGTGAATATGAGCAAATAGGCTAAAAAAACCCATAATCTTGATAAAGGTCCGCTTTAAATAAACCCGTACCCAGCTTATCTTGTCAATCTTGTCTGAGGCATCGAGTCTTCTTCATTCAAAATGAAGAACTCTAGAAGTTCATTGTCAGTCACATATCCAAAACTATTCATAAGTACACATAACTTAGTACAAGTACACATACAATCATGTACATGTACTTGAACTAATAGTTATAAAATCATTTTGTTATAAAAAAAAAAATTTAATTGCAAAAACAAACGTACAATTTAGTGAAATCAATCAATCAATCAATCTCTGTTTAGCGTCCAGAGACCCAGTTCTCCCGATGTAGGACGTAGTGAAATAACAAATGTGAAACATTAAAAAAGATTGTCAACCACGAATGATGTTTGAATAATTAACAGCAAATTTTAAAATAGCGTCAATCTATTGATAACAGTGTTAACTGATTGTGAACCAATTTTGACGGCAGATAGTCAGGCATGTACACCGGCAGACGAAAACAATTGTCCACCAAATTCCTGGTGTCAACTGGTCAACAACACCCCTACTTGCTTCTGTCGGTCTGGATTTGTAAAATCTGGACCGCTATGCATCGGTCACTTGAAATATTTTTTTTGTTTTTAATTATCATATAAACTTGTTAAAATCATTTCATTAAATTTGATTGATTTATTTTTTTATTTCACTTATTATAAACGTCATTTTTTGAGTCTACTTCTCCAGATCCTAAATCTGATGTAGAAACAAATCTGTTATAACTATCAGCTTTTTAAGTCATGCTTCAAATTTAATTTAGTCAGTCACATATTGTTCTAGTTTTATAAAAAGCGAGCAACAAACTGATACTTAACAGACTTCGATGAATGTCAGCCAGCACTTGGCCTCTGTGACTATGAAACCGCAACCTGCGTAAATACCATAGGCGGGTACAACTGCACTTGTCTTCCAGGATTTCAACAAACTGGAGTTATTTGTACAGGTATTTGTTTTAAGAATATATCAGCAAATACATTGAAAAATAGCACTACTCATTTGACTATTCAAATATATTCTAGACATCAATGAGTGTGCCTCGGATAGGCCTGCCGCATGTGACCCACGCCCAGCGATTGGAGTCTGCACTAACACGGCTGGATCTTACAGGTAATTTTTTCTTTTGGTTATATCTTGAATTTATATCTGAATTTATTTAATCCAAAAATACTCATTGGCAATAGTGAAAGAATAAAATTAATTACTTTTCAGCTGTTCGTGCCGAGGGAATTACGAATTGGCTAGAGATAATAAAACATGCGTCGGTAGGTGGTCCTTTTAATTGTCTTCTTTTTTTTCAATTTGTTGTCACAATTTACTGCGACCACATTTCCAAATTAATACTAATTTATCATATTTAACCTGAATAATCTGTCTACATCTGAACCACCAACTTGCTCAGACATAGACGAATGCATGCAGCACACTGACGGGTGTTCGGAGTACTGCATAAATCTTGACGGCAGTTTTAAGTGTGGCTGTCAGAATGGTCTGTCTTTAGATTCTGACGGAAAATCTTGTATTGGTTCGTATTGAGATGTTGTGTATATTTTTATATGTTATCTTAATTTGAAAAGTTATTCAAATAAATTTAATTGAATCGCACCTGGAACACCTGTATAAATTATTGTATAAAGCCTCAACAGCCTGTAAGTCCAATACGATGTGCAGTTATAAATGTGCATTTGTTAACAACATCGACACATGTCTCTGTCCAGTAGGCTTCGAAATGACCACTACTTCTTGCGTTGGTCAGTTTACATTTATTATTTTATAACTATTGTTACATTATTCTATTGGTTACAACAATTGTATAACAAATTTTACAATTTATATCACAGCATGCATTTTTAATACATTTTTAATTGCATTTAATTGTGTTACGTATTTATAAACGTGAAACTTGACCATAAAAATTCTTAAAGTGCATTGCTATGTTACTGCAGTACTGATAAGCAATTTTTCCACAGATATAAATGAGTGCAAGACCATGACCCCCAATCCATGTGATCCGAACCACGGAATCTGCATAAACATAGTAGGATCGTACATCTGTGTATGTGATGATGGGTACATGCTTGGGCCGAACAACACTTGCAATGGTCAGTAATCGATCGCTGGATTTGACAAATTATTTTATAACTATTTTGAAATTATTTAAAATTATAACTGGCAGACCGCAATGGTAACTGGGCAACCTGGGGAGGTTGGTCAAACTGCAGTCAGATGTGCAACGGAGGGATCGCCTACAGATCAAGATATTGCAGCAGCCCGTCACCGCAGGGACTTGGGAGAAATTGCATTGGGAATGCCACTGGCGAACAACAATGCAACACACAGGATTGTCCATGTTAGAAAATTTGCATCTATAATATCTTAAGAGTTTGCGCTGTCGCTGTGCTAATTTCTACTAACAAAGAGTTGACCTCGGATAGTTGGTGAAGTGTAAAAAAGCTGTAGATAGCATAAAGAAAACGTGGCAATGATTAGTGAATACTGTACAAAAATTAAGATCATAAGATCTACAGAAGCAATTTTTGAAATTTATCACTCCTTAAAAATTCATTACCATTTATATATTTGTTTAGTTGCATGAAATAACTGATAAATAACGGCATTTTTTGTTTTTAGAACAAATAATTCATAAGTTTTAATAACTGCTGCTAATGTTTTTTACGTCTATAATATTTAATGTGATAATAACTCAATAAAAAATAATAATAAACAATTCAATAGTAACTAAAAAATAATTCAATAATCATTCAGTGACAAAGGATGAGGAGGTATATGGACGCACAATTTATGTGAGAGGATTAGAGTATGACTTGGTACGTTATGTTTGCATTCTCACAACGTTCATAAGCTCCGAAGTAAAATGTTAACTGGCACTGAATATATAATATCGATAACACTGTTGTGCATGCAAGAGACAACTGGGGACCCAGTTGCGAACAGTGCTGTTATTCGTAGTCAATAAAACTCAGTTCTTAGACAGGAATATTTATCATTTTTATTTTTTAGACACGAATAGTTATCGTTAGAAACTACGCACCATAATTCGATTACTTTTAGTCTTTTAACAGATTCATTTATTATTAATCGCCTGAGCATGAAAATGTATACATGTTCGGTAGTCGAAATCCCGACCTTTTTGATATATAGTATCATATCTTGAATCGACCGAATAGCTACCATTATCTACTACCGAACACGCACTATAGCTCGATTTATTTATTATTATGTATTAATATAGTTCAACTTTTTTTGAATGTAGCTTCGATATAGTGAGTTAAGCTAGCAGTTTGTAACTAGGTTCATGTATCTCTCAATGTATAATTTCAGTTTTCTTACGTGAATCCCGTCATGTTGATGACCTTGACTGACTACCTGAACAAATACTGCCTCTCCAGCGTCAGTCACCTTGAAGAATGTTGTGGGAGGAAAATAAACTTTACGTTCGTTTTAAGTTGTTTTCTCTAGTCAATCATTCTATTGCAGTGTGAGAATTTTGAATGATTTTTTGATTACCCTCTTATTAGATCATTTAAACAAAATAAACTTACTGGCTCATTCATTTGGCTGCGCTTTAATGTTTTTCTATTGGGTAGCATTTTTCTTTTTCAAATTAAATGGCATTCTCACATTCAAATAGCCTTCAACCGAATGAAACTCGTAAGTTGGTCAATTGGAAAGATGTACTGACAGCCGATGGCTTTCCAAAAAAACTGGAGTTCCAATTCCTCAAAACACTACTGCTCTTCAAATTTCCAAAAAATCACGAACTGTATGTTTTTAACTGTTACTAATATTTTCTTTTTATTTCTTTTTTTAAACTGTAGGAACGATAAAATTAGTTCATAACTTAAACTTTTTAGATGCACAGGAAATAAAAGTTCTACAAATACGAGGAAGAAAAGAACAGTTTTAAACTCGACTGACACTGCCGTACCAAAATCTGTCATTGACAATGCCTTCTCAGATCTTGTGTGCGTATCCCATGTTTTTCATTTTGAAATTTTTTCTCAACGCTGGTATGATCAAACATACCTGATCCATTAACCTTATATTAACATTAGTCATTTCACAAATTTACATTTCAAATATTTTTTTATTAAAATTTTTCTTAGTTTATACAACACCCAAAGAGTTATGATGAAGACTGTTATAGATGGCTTCAACGAAACTCGGAATGTCCAACTAATTAATCAAAACGAGGTTTGTACTGTTATTTATTTGACCAACGTCGGTTTGGAATATTCTATCATTACATATTTTTTTCAATCTGTACTTATTTCATTTTCTAATCTACTTAAAAACTGCGTTACCTCTTACAAAGCAATTTACGTTTTAACAAACAAGTTGAATTCCAGTCGGCATAATTTGACTCGATGGCAATAAAACAGAGCATCATAATTTTTAAATGCGACCGCTTCGAATCAATTTGATGAACAAGCAGAGATTGATTGTAATTACAAAAACTGACTTGCATACATCAACAATAGGATGGTGGCACAGCAATTCCATGGTGGGCAATCCTGCTCATCATTTTGGCCATCCTCCTTCTCATCCTCCTCATCATTTTGCTTATTTATTTCTGCTGCTGCAAGAAGAAAAAGAATAGGTACGTAACTTGAAATGAAATAAAAACTGCTAAAACAATTGGAAAGCTACTGAAAAATAAATTTGAATGGTTATGCTTGAAATAAAATTATGATTATTAAAAAAATAAAGTGATATTTATTGTAAAGGTGATTAACATGAAAATGTGATGTATTCTTAGAATAACAAAGTGGCAATTATTGTGATTGATGATAGAGAAAATAGCCTACATGTGTCGTATTGTTGTCTTCTTTTGTTGTTTGTGCAGTTTCACTTTGTTTCATAATTATTCATTCGAACAATTAATCACCGCAAGGGTCGACTCTGCCGAAAAGAGAAAGACAAAAGAACAGAGAACAAGAAAAACGGAAACAATTATCATGAAAGAGGCCAGGAAAGAAGAGAGGATCAACGAAAAGAACAGAAAAACCGCAGAACAAATGAAGAAAGATGAGGAGGCGAAACACAAGAAAGAAATGGCCACAATACTCAAAGATGAAGAGAAGAAGAAAAAAGAATTAGAAGAAAAAAAGAAAAAAGAATTGGAAGAAAAAAAGAAAAGGGAACAAAAAGAGTTGGAAGACAAGAAGAAAAAAGAATTGGAAGACAAAAAGAAAAAAGACATGGAAGGCAAGAAAAGACGTGAAGAGGAGATGAAAGAACTAGAGGAAGAAAAGAGACGAAAACAAATGACAACCTCTAGACCCTACGATGACGACGATGATGACGACAAAGATAAAAAGAAGGATGTAGAAAAACACAAATCACGTGATCAGACATCTGGACACCGTAATAGAGCTCCTATGACAACGGGCCACGGTGAGCCTGACTCAGCCCGTGACATGCCCTCATCGTCGTCATCTTCATCATCGTCACTTGGAGGTAGAAGGCCGAGAAAACCTAAAGATCTCAGTGACATGTTTCCTGATTTGGATCAGGACACAGCCACAGTAAATTCGAAACCAGGGTTGGTAATGATGTCCATGATGTATTTTTATTTCATGCCCATCTGTTCTCCTGATCTTTTAATCGCATTTTGCCAATTATTTAAACAGTTTTTAAACGTTTTTACTGTTTATTCACCTTCATAAAACTTATTAAATTTTATGGTATGAAAAAGCCCGCTATGATACGTTCTATGAAAATAATAAATACTTTCAACTTGAAATTTTTTCATATTAAATTTTGACTTTCAAACAGGAACAAATTCATGATTCCGCCAAAGGTAAAGCCAATAACAGTCAGGACTCCAAGAAACGAGGACTCGAATTAAAACAAATAAATGAAACATACAAGTTAGTCAAGTTAATGATGAAAGAAAAGATAGTTTCATGTAAGAAAAAGGAAATTTTGTTGTTGGTATGTCTTCGACGTTAATCATTATTGCGTGATAACAACTAGTGGATGGAGCAGCTAATGTTGGAATCTGAATTTTTAACGCTTTGAAAATTACGTCCATCGGTGGTCATACATATAAATTTATTTTTTTAACATTAATCAACTGATTTAAACAAAAAAATGTAATGTTATTTTAAAACTTTTTTTAAGAGGTGTTTTTTGATTTTAAATGCACAACTTTAACTACGTATGCAACAACTTTATTCATTTAATACCCATTTTTCCAAGCTGTTATTGCTTTGTATTTTAAAGAACAATATATTTCTTCATCCTGCATCATTTAAGCAACCTTTTTTCATCCTGCATTTAACGGTCATAAAATAAATTTCATGTAAAATTTACCCGAAAAATTAATTTTTAAGGACTTTTTGTTTTTTTTTATTTCGTTTATTGATCTTCCGAACTTGGTGCATAAATTTTATTCAAATGTGATAAGCAACTTCTATAGAAGCCAAGCACGCAAAGTAAAAAAACACAGAAATGACATCCTACTGCATTTCTTGTTGGAAGATGTGTGCGTTTTACCAATTTCTTTTAAAAATTTCTTGAACAATTTTATTTCATGGGTGATATACAAATCTTGCATCGCATATTCTTGAATTTTTTACAAACAACTTTTTTAGACGGGTGTGATTGAACATTTAATGTTTAAATTTATAGTTAGTCCTTCAATATTAGAGCATCATATTAATTGCATGCGCATGATCATGTCTCACTGACTGTTGAACACTCGACTAGTCTATTTTTTTCATAATTCACATTAAAATGTTAGATCTGCAGAAAACTTTTATTGTTTCGACAACTATTATTTGAAACCATTCTAAACCAATGAAATGAAGTGTTAGTAGAAGACGTGATCAACTGTCCAACCTAACCAAACAAAATTCTAAACTTGAACCTTAATTGTGATCTCTAAATTTTTATTTCATATTTTAATCAAACACATGAAACCAATTGACACATTTGAAAATATATATACGTACTAAATTTATAATTAAGTTGTTTTTCGATTTAGCACTATTTTTTTAAATAAACGTTTTCAATTCAATTCAAATGTTCTCTTGCAGCCACCAAAAGACTGAAAACATTTTGATGAAACTTGAGCAAAACAATAAAACTCTATGTTACAAGTAAGTTAAGTAATAATGCTGTCAATCGCTGAAATAAAAAAAAATTTTGAATGTCTACCTAATCAAATCAGTGAGATATTGCGCGTGGCTAATTCGTCAAAAACAATCAATTCGGACCATAGAGGCAAGATTATTATAAAGAAAAACTAAATTAACAAACAAATTATAATAAATTTTAACCATAGATATAAAAACTCTAAGTTTATATATCTATGGTTTTAAAAAATATAAGTAACAATAACGTATGTTAATAACACTCTGGAATAATATGATAACATGTGATTTAAAAAATTTTAACAAACTCGACATGATAAATGTTAAAGGTAAAGTTGATAAAAAAAAATATAATTATGCATTTACGTAATGAATGTATTGTAATGATGTAATGTTAGCAATCTTTAATTGCAAGACCATTAATTTCATAAGACAAATTATAATTTACATTACAATCATACACACTTTTGGATGCAAATGTAAATTTATAACAACTGAAACAGTTAAGACACTAGAAATATCTAATTTCATAAATACGTATATATATATATATATATATATATATATATATATATATATATATATATATATATAATGTTTATGTCTGTAAATGCTTTTTTAAAATTCATTAACATGAAGTAAAATATATTTAATGAAACATTAAAAAATAAGGCCAATTAGAATGATCTCAAACAAACACTCCACACCAGCTCAAACCCAACGCGTTACTTTACTTATGGACTGACAACTTGCACACCAAGACACTCGCAAACGGCAAAGATAGCAACAACAGTTAAAATGTCGAAAGAAATGTTACAAATTGAACAAATATTCTTCCAATGGTATGTTACAAAAAGTAGATTTGCATAGATGTTGTAGTATCAGTGTAGGTTAAGCAGAGGCCAACTTTGTATAGCAGACACGTAACTTTGACTCAACAGCCCCATACGACCAATTTAACATTACCGATTGTACGTATTTTCAATAATCTTCCAATAAAAAAGCAAATAAATAAACATTGTGCGTAGTAAAACACGAGAAGACGCCTGATATAATGCATAATAAAGCAAGCACCATTTGAATGAAGAAAATGAGATTTGAATTTCAAACAAATATTCACATGATGTTAATTTTAAAAAAGCTGTAATAGACCTTAACATAAATTAAGTCAATTTAAACCTAATTGCCTTTTAGAAAAAAATTAATTAGTAAACAATGTTTAGAAAAATATGTATTGGTTAAAAAATAAACTAAAATACTTTATAAATGAATATAAATTAAATGTATTACGGTAACAAATTAAGTATATGATGACAAGATAGCAAAGAACTGATAATCTCATGATGGGAATGATGTTAAATATTGGAAAAAATTGCGTGGTACTATCTTCTCGAAATGAATTCTATGAATAAGCGGGAAACTTAATTATAAATTAACAACGAATCAACGTTAATGTTGTAAATAACAAGATAAAACAGGCTAGGCAAGATTAATTTCATCAACAAATTTGTGCATAGTTATAAAATACATATATATATATATATATATATATATATATATATATATATATATTTCAAAAAAATACACACACACATATATATATATATATATGATATATATATGTGTGTGTGTGTATATATATTGTGTGTTCGTGCGTGTGTGTGCGTGTGTGTGTGTGTGTGTCTAGTTAAGGTGGTTTTAATTAAGTGGCTCTGTGTATGAAAATTTTAAAATGTTTTTGAAAGCAAACTGTTCAGAAATTTGAATACAAATACTGTAGAAAAATAAATGTAAAGAAGGTTAATGGTCATAATTTTATGTTTGATAAAATAGGATTTTGTGTGTGAAAGAGGTTGAGGTAAAAAGAA